ATATTAGTTTAATACAGAGTATTGTGATACATAGTAAGTTCCAAGATAGCGGAGAAAGGTTCGTGTTGAGAATAAACCCAGTTTGGAAGTTCTAGTCTCTGAAAACACACCAGCAAACCTGCATGAGTGATTTACTCAGGCGTTCCTCCACACAAAAGGATAGGGACGCTTTGTAACCCTACTCTTGTTGGGTTACATTATTGTATCCAAGGCGGGATAACCGATAAGTGGGTGCTAGTCATGAAATATACTTCATTACTTGAACTTGAGGCATAATGAGCTGTTACGTAACGATGTGCCTAGAGTCTAGAATAGAAAGTGTCGATATCGATTGAACTTACGAAAACGGATTGTCAATCGGATTATCGGATTCATTGACGGGTCGGATGCAGTCGTCATATCAAGACTCAAGTGAATAAGTATTGGCACTATTGGTATTGGCCATATGAACTCAACATGTCCATATTAAATAGTTGTTATGGGATGACTAAAAATTACGCTAATACAGACGTAAACAATAGAATCATTGCCAATGCAAACGAAACGGTACTCGTCAATGACAATATCTACAGTGCGAGTAGGCTAATGGCGCGGGAATTTGTTTTGTTTAGGACTATAACTTTTAAATTCAAACACGGTATCATAAATGAATACCACGGATACAACAGTTACTTAAACTCACATAAATTTACTTACCATTTGTATAAGCGTAATAAGTTACAACTATTATAATTTGTCCTTGGAACAATAAAACGCCCCTCCCGTAACTACCGTTGCTACAAATTACCGAAGTAAAATGGCGTCCTCCAGCGGATACGAAAAAGAGGCTCAATCAGAGGAACCGGAACTAGCGATTGCGCTGCTCAGTTGTTTGTTACGGTATGAAAATGAAAGCAGAGGTGAAAGTGTGCAAGTCGGTAACCGTGCAAGTCATAAAGTGTGAAAGTGTGCAAGTGACATACGTCTTCTCTCAGAAACTGTCTCGCGTCGTGATCTGACCTTACTCTTTGTCACAGAGGTAGGTCAGTGTATAATTGCATAGATGTATCACAATAACGTGACTAGGCGGTGTTATACTTCAAACCTGCATTATCTGTACTGTAGCCGCCTCGACTTTAACTTTTAAGTATACTCTGAGCCTCTCCACGTTGTGCATGAAATTTCATCGATTTTTTGTTTTCAACTTTATTCTATGGCTAACACTATGTGCCACCTGTGTACATGCTCATTTTTGAGCGTGTACATTGTCTAGCAGAGCGTGAGCGCGGATACCAAGTCTACCCTTCGGCCAAAAACAATAACGTGGCTTGCTGCAACCGCTGCCAGTAGATGATCGATAATCGTGCTGCCTGTGTATGCCAGTGGTAGAACACGAATATTGAAATGCTGCACGTGACTCGGCCCGCGCGGCAATTTAAGCGCGGGAAAACGACGCTCGCGCGCAGATGGCCAGCTGTGATCTGTACGGTGTGTAGTTCTAAGTGCAGTAAATTTAGAGAAATTTTAGTAGAATTCATACGATGACACAAAGTTTTTTTATAACAATGGTCTGGGTTCTAGTGTCCACAGTCATTCATTATTGAGTTAGGAAATACATATAAAGCTAAAATTGGATAACCAATGTTATCACTGCGTTGTATTTACAATTAACATAGTAGCAGGCTAGCAGCCTATGATTTTATTTCCAAAGAAAAAGATTTGCTGATTTGCTGACAAAAACATTATTTTAAAGTCTAGACGTTCGCGCCTTATAGTGAGTGAAAGCGATACCCGTGCGCGAAGCAGACTACTTACACGAGACGGCGATCACTGCTCAATACGGATTCTCCTATTTATGTCGATCGCTCGAAAAGTGTTAAGTTTGGTAATCGAACAGTTCGAAGCAAACTTTTGTGTTTATCTGATATGGTATGTAAATAGAAGATACAAGCTGTACTTCGCTTAAATTTCGTGCACTTATTGTGAAAATTAAAATACAAATAGAACTATTTCATCTATCTTGAGTGGAGCAGAAGAAATCCATGTCAAATGTGGAAAATAGGCCAAGAATGTTTCCAAGCCCATTTCACAAGCTCAGATAGACATGCAGCGAACTGCAGCGTACCAGTCTACCGCTCTAGTAGCCGTCTATCACCCTATACCGTCTGCAGTGTACCGTGCTACAGGTCGTGCTGCGGCAATGCATAGTGGAAGACATATGTCAGCCCGCATGTCACCGAATTTACCACTGTTCATTCGAATATACATTTGTTCATGCAAGGCGCAGCGGACTGGAAATAAG